ATGTGATTGCTTAATCAAACTACGTCTTCAGTGTATGTCTGCCTAAGATTTTCTCTCATCATCTACTACTGTCTTTTGTAATGTGCATGATTTGTTATAACTAAACTAACATTCATTGTCTTTCGTAAATGTAGACAACAAAACTGAAAGACATACTTCTTTCGAAAAATGTGACACAGTCACACATTAGCTAATTAGCTTGTAAAAGTAATCATATGATTTGTGACAGAGAATAAATGAAAACTGTATCTCACTTGAAGGAGAATACTGTCTTAATAGTGAATGAATAAGACTTAAGAGATACGATAAATTTATTTTCCTTTTCAACTAGTTCACCAGACTACCGCTTACTGATTGACATTTTAGACCTGGGATGGTGTTTATGATCATTTCAGAGGTGATATCACAACAGTGACACCTGTTTTTTTATAGTTTTATTCCTTTTTATTCCTGTATTGTATAGACAGTATTATTTCTCAGATATCGCAAAATTGTGTGTATTCACATACAGTGCGAATATTTTGTTTGCTCAGTAGCATCCATAATTATGTGGTGAGAGCTGTCTACTAGCCAAATTGGTAGACAGTAATTTACGTCAATATTTACGTTCCCAAGATTTGTCGTGAGAAACAACCAATCGGAAGACTGTGTTTGTTTGTTTACATAACCATAGTAATGTACATGAAAACATATATAAATATGCGTTGATTTCCTTAATAAATGATCTGTTGCCTGACTCTTGCCTTCTGTCGTTACAATTATCCAAAAGTCTCCTATTGCTGGCGTAAGCTTGTTATTTTCGTAGTGTGTCATTAGTGTATTTGTTAGATGTGACCCTATTTAGCAAGTAGAATCTCTGTCACTGACCCAATATTAAATGAGTAATGAAATACAAAATAGAAGAAATACTAGGCTTCCTCGGATTGTGGATCATGCATAAAAGTGAAGATTTGCAGTCCCAATCTAACTACAGTGGCTAAGGCTCAAAACTTTAATTCCTTTTCTGATGACATAGGGAAAGACTTGATATAGGCGCTATATTCGCTAACAGGAATGTCACACTGCAAAATGGAATCGATATAACAACATGTGTCTGATGAATTTTGTGTTGCTGCTTCATTAGCATTTTTTGTTGTTAAGTCAACTAACAAAACTTCTCTAATATTCTTCCAAACTTATGACGAATGAACAAATTCTACTCGTGTTATTTTTAACTGATTATGTCATCACAGCCTCCTCATTGTCGCCTCCCTAAACGAAAGTCTTCCTGCCAAACTTATGCAAACAGAATAAAAAATATACATATTTTTATTTTGTTAATACTATATATATCTCAGGCTGTCTGCAGTTGAAGAAAAGTCTCGAAATAAAGTGTGTTCATTTTATACCGCAGATTTTGTTCTTGCTTTGACGAAGATGATCAAGGGAACACTGTGTATCAGTATAAATAAGAAGGATCTGTCAAGAAAATAAAGTGATGGATTAGGAGAATAATATCTGGGAATTATCTAATATTTAAATATTCCCATTATTGATATTAGAACAAGACATATAAGCGAACAATATTGTTTTCAATTAGATCTTCTTGAGGCTTTACTCTAGTTTACATAGATTTATATATAAAAATTTTAACCAATGACGGTGATTTTGTGGATCAAATAATAATAAATAATAGTGTGGTAAATGTTTCGAACATCAGTAATAACGATGATTATAATGATAACAAAATAATGATAATAAGGTTTATGCACGTGGCAATAAGAATAACGAAGGTAGTAATATGTTTGAATATGTTGACAATTCAATAAATAAATTAGGTCAAATCTTAAAAGTTACGTACTACTAAGGGTGAAGTGGACAAATAATCAGAGTTTAAATAAATATCATAAAAGTACCAAGGAAATGGAAAATAAGAAAGGGTGGGAGGGTTTTAATTAGAATCTACCTAGGCCAAGGGAGAGACAAAGGTAGAACCAAATTCTTTTGTATGCAAAGACTAGGATTGTTCTCTCGAATTCCCATAGCTTCGGCTATTTGTAAGAGGCGGGTTCGAATTCCGTTTGAAAGGTTCAATGGAATGCGATAGATAACTTTGAACGCACTATTTTTGTCCACATGGTGACCGCTACCAATCAAATGAGTCAAAATAGGACTTCTTATAGATTTTATTTGGCCTTTTCCGAACCATGAAGGAAGATGCTCATTAATAGGTTTGTTGAGCTGTCTAGTTGTTCGCCCAATTATTTTTTATCGAATCTTGTCCTACTTTATAAACTGAAGGGTTCTCTTTGGATAAAACTCCTAATCTCATCTAGTTGTAATTATATTTAAGGATTCAAATGAACCTTCCAATTTCAACCAGAAGTCAGTGACTAGTGACCACCAGATTAGTCTTCAAATGTTGGTTTGTTCACCTTGTAACCTGAAGGTCCTGCATTCGATCTCTAGTACGATCATTGGTATTTATTGATGAAAAGTCCCAAACTAGGAGTACTCCCTGGTTTTTAATGGTTCTCTAACTGAAGCCAGTTGGTGACCAATCTGAAATTAAATTAAATTCCTGCAAACCAATACTTGAAAATCTAGTTTGAATAATGAGTAAAAATATTTACAATTTATTATAACTTTCTGCTTCCTGAACCGAACCTACTTTCAACCATAGCTTATCAATGTTTCAAAACTTTTACAGTTACTTTATCCTTTTCATTTCTATTAAGTACTTCTGAATCATCAGTTACCAATTTCGGTTCATGTAATCTTTACCGTATAATTGTATGTCATGCCTACCTGAGGAACCCAAGAACAATATCCCTTAAAGTGTACCTAGCACCTCTCATTCCTCATAATATTCTAATCATGACCTTGTCAGCATACACACCGTCCACACAGCATACAGCTGATATGACACCAGTAAAGCATGGTGAATTCAACTAATTCTGAAAAGACTCTTATTAAACTAAGAGACTGACAGAATTTCTGGTGAGTGATACTCATTTCACATAAATCAAGCCACTGACTCAATCGCCACTAAAATAAAATCAAAAAGTAGAACAAGAGATCACTGAAAGCATTTCGCTTTTATGAAATAAACAGAGGTAATTTATGTAATTTTGAGTTATTATTGTTATTATTACGAATGGACTAAGATTATTTGAAGATCTCTTAGCCTTGAAACCACACTAACTAATGATAAGAATGTGGATAAGACATCGTTTCTAAATACGTAATCAACAAATTATTATACTATGTAACTGTATAGCATAGAGGAAGAATAAGTTCAGTATGGAAGTATGGTGTGCCAAATGTCCCAATTTCTTTTCTTAAAAAATTCAGTTCATAATTATTTATTAGTGTTCTGGATTTCCTGGCGATATATCTGGCTGCATCGATCAGCTTTGTTTCGGGATATGAGCTCCTTAAACGGATTTTTTCATAATACCAAGACTAAGAAATCGAAGTTACTTATTTGGGTGGTGCCCAACATTAGAATTCAGGATTGTGTTTCCTCCTGTTTGTGCTCATTGGCTGTATTTACTCAATCCACAGTGTGACAAAGTTCTCACTGTGACTGGAGCTCAGTGCCCATCGTTTCAAACGCCAAAATGTTCTTCACTAGGCCACTGAACCATTTTGTAAATAATATGTAAATATGTAGTCAGGTTCGCCAGATGGTTCTTATGTAATATTTGCTGCTGGCAAGAATTTCCATTTAGTATATTGGTGTCATCTTCAGGAATTTAGAACAGTGAAACAGCGAATAAAGTCTAAAAGAGAAGAAATGAAGATCACTGTGAGACAATATACAGTGGGTGAAATGAAGACTAAAGAAGCATGATACGAATAGTTTTTGCAAACAGTAGATTCCGTGTGAGGTTTTTTGTATTTTGTTATTATTGTGCATCATTTTGCCAAATGAACAATTCTGCTACCAAATACTACTGCGATTTTCAGAATACTCAGGATAAATTAGCCAAAGACTAGCAAAATGAAAATACAGAACTTAACAAGACGTTCTATAATTAGTTTCATAAGAATGGCAAAATTGTTCTACAGTTCACAAAGTCGAATATGTAAATCCACTGTTTTTCTTTCGTCATCGAGTCTGTAAATAATAAGTAGTACAATTTTCAACAATACTTCTATTTTCGGGTATTGGTTTGTGGGGATTTTGTTTGATTGGTTGGAGGATTTCATCATGAGCTGACATCGGTTAGAGAACCATTGGAAAACCAGCAGGGAGTACTGGACATCTGTTTCGTCAGCCTAGTTTGGGACTTTCCAGCAGTACGCACCCACCTCCAGGGTTCGAACCCATGACTTCTAGTCACAAAGCGAGCTCGTAGACCATTTGATCGGGTCCCAGTGGCTGAATGGTCTACGAGCGAGCTTGTAACCAGAAGGTCCTGGGTTCGAACTCTGGAGGTGGGTGCATACTGCTGGAAAGTCCCAAACTAGGCTGACGAGACAGATGTCCAGTACTCCCTGCTGGTTTTCCAATGGTTCTCTAACCGATGTCAGCTCATGATGAAATCCTCCAACCAATGCTTCTATTTGTGTAGGTCTGGCATTTGGTAGGCGATCCAATAAAAGAAAACAGACAAATTTTGGTTCTTCAAAGGAAACAAAATTAGTTAAGTTAAGCAAACGAAATTGAAATGATTTCAATGTGATTTGTCTGAACAGCTTTACAGTGTTTATCAGGCAATTATTGATTACAAGTTAATTCTTAAGCGTACATCTCTACTTCGAGATAGTTTATGGCAATCGATAGTTGAGGAAAGTGCATTTATTAGTCGATTATTACAATGTGACCTGAAAATAATTCATTTGATAAGCAGCGTAAAATTAAACTATAAACGATATATTTATTATTCTCACTTCAAAAGTTTATTCTGTTGAGAGACTTGCAAGATAAATTATTTAAAGTCACTATTCAATTAATTCCCGTCATTTTCAAAAATATTCTAAATCAATAAAGAATAATATCTGATAAGCTTATTATGAATTTATTACATTCCTTACTATTATTATTTTCTTTGATATTATCGGTATCAACACTGGTTAATCGAAGAGAAACTACATATTCAAGAAGTGATACTAATGAATCATTAGCTGCAAATCCACATAGAAGAGATCATAGGCATCACTATAGACAAGATTCTCGAAATTATGACCTTTATCCTGAACATCATCATCACCAAACTTATCCTCATCCGCATCAGCATCATCGACACAGTGGAAGAGAAGAGATAAATCCTCAAAGAAGATATGACAACCAACATATACGTCATCATAACCATTATCATGAACATCATGGATCTTCTCAATATGATCAGAATCCAACAGTTCAACAAGAAAAATTACAATATCAAGAAAGAACAAGAGAACACTACTCAACATTAACAACTCCTAAGGATCAAGTTCATAAGGAACCTGTGAGTGACGACTATAAATTAGAATATACAGGAACTCATTCAACACAATCTTCCGCTTCAACACAGTCATCTACTTCAACAACTAAGACTGTTAAAGAGAAAGAAACAGAGACTGTGAAACCACATAAAGTCGCTTCAACAAACACAAACCAGCCACACAGTCAAAATTCGGATGTAGATTCTTCTAAAGAAAAAACTGATGATAATTCAGATGTACATAAAGTTATACCATCCGAAGATCATCAGCATCATCATCATCACCATCATCATGATCATGAACATAAAGATCACGACAACAGTGATAAGAAGAAGAGCAGTACAGTAAAGCCTACTGACAAAAATACTGACGAACTCCATGAGAATGCAGAAACGAAAAACGAAGAAAAACACGCTACACAAGCTACACCCATTGCAGCAGCAAGTAAAACGGTTGGAGGTCACTATTCAAAAGTGAGTGACTATATTTCACAGTTAAAGTTATTTGCCTTTTCCCTGTTTTAACACTTGGTTTTACCTTCAGCTGGCTTATTCCGCTCTCCGTGAGTGGTATGAACATTTAACGTATATTCAAGCATTAAGAAACTTTTCATCAACATAGTTAAATATAAAGTAGCCTCGATTAATTCGTTGTGAAAAGGATAAAGTTTTGATTATCTGACATCTGTTTGCTTTCACTGCTAAGTAAAATTCTGGTTTCTAAGTTTTGGATTCATTATCAACGCTACAGATTAGAGTGAGTATTACTCACCATCAAATGTGACTACTTAGTTGTGATAACTTTTAATTGAATAGTGGTCTATCATTCAGTCAATAACTCCTAAGCAGGCCTGTTTGTTTTCATAAATAAATACATCTATTATGTCATGAAATAAGTTGCTTAGGTGTTTGTTTACTGGTTAAATATATTTCAAGTTTGACTGTTATTACTCTAACATCAACAGATAACATTCAAATGTTTATCACAGTGGTAAATATTATACGTGTCTTTGACATGTTAATATTCTAGGAGAAGTTAAACTATAGCAGCTACCCCAATACATGTCCTTGGAAGGTCGATTAGAGTTATAGGTGGTATAACCAAGTCAAATGATGTCTTCACTTCGGAATTGGCTTAACGAGCTCCAGAAAGATCGAATATTTGATTGTTGTGTATACAATGGATTAACTGGAGCCACGAGAACATCTATATGTGGGGAAGCTTGACAGGATAACTGTTCTTCTAGGATTATGAGTAGGATTTTGGGATGGATGGACGGATTTCTGAATACCATGATCAACAGTCATATTTTTAACAATTCTCTGACTTTTTTATCCTCAAACTCACTGTCATTGGTTAAAATTTTTATACATAAATCTATGTAAATTAGAGTAAAGCCTAAAGAAGATCTAATTGAAGACAATATTGTTCGCTTATATGTCTTGTTCTAATACTTTTATTGTTCTTTAATTCTGATTAGTTGTATATGAACAATGGTAATGTCTATCGTGTTGGTTGCTATAGTTTAACTTGATTACAGTCGGACATTTTTATTATTGTCCAAGCATTGAACGCCGTCGATATGGCTTTCGTTGTTAATTTAAAACTCATTTGTAAAGGCAAATAACAATTAGATGTGTCTTTCAGGAACACCTATCGTTAAAATTCTTGTGGACTTTCATAAAAAGCATAGTGATTTGTCGAAAAACTACAAGTTTCCACCTTACTCAACGATTTTGTTAATCTCATTATGTCTCCATCTTCCCGTAACTTCTTTTTGAATTACTGTTTCTACTTGAAACGACTTATTTTGTATCGAAACACTCATCCGAAAAAGTTTAGACTACGACTTACATAAATTTAGACAAAGTAATAAGAAGACGTAATTTGTCTGAATCGTGTAATGTATTTGCGCAACACATTTCGAACAATCTGATCACACACACACTTGTCACAGGAATATGTATATGAAATTAATGGAGTTAAGAGGTGAGAAAATAAACTTAGGTCAAGTTAAAAGGACATACTGAAGGTCAAAATAACAATGAAGATCACTAAACCAAATAAGAGAGGCAATAGTACATCTGCTATGGTATCAAAGCAAAGTTTACCAAAGAAGATTTAGTGTGATGACCAATTGTTTTTGAAAGCATAAAGGTGGTTTAAACTTCCTAATTGCCAGCTAGGGCTTCCACAAACTTTATGATGCGTCCCAAACACGTCTTATATGTAGGTTTAAAAGACGTGTAAACATCAATTTTATGTCCTGTCTCTATATGTTTCGTGATATAGGAGCTAGGTCTCCTGTTCTCACCATTAGTGGATACTGGGGATTCTATTTGTTTCTGGAGCCACTTAGGAATACGCTCTGAAGCCACTGAAGAGATCGATGAGTCCTCCCTTTGTATATGTGTCCACACGTACATTCAAATTGGTAAACACAGTGGGATGTGACATCATTTTTCGCATGTTCAAAGGGCTTAGATGGATGGATATATTGGCTTCACATTCTCAATTATTATGACCTTTGCTGCATAAAAAGTCTTTTTAACAGCAGCGTTCAATCCTTGTCTAGTTGTCAAGCTACTATGATCCCCATGTAGGGTAGCTTGATGTACACGTCTTTCTTAGCGGCGAGTAGGATAATGGGTCTTGGTGTTCTGACTACTTTATATCTCCTAATTAATTTGTCTGGTTAATTATTATCAACCAAAGTTTGTGTCAACTTTCTTTCCTCCTCATCAAATGTATCTTCAGTGCATATTCATTGGATTCTACTGAAGAGGCACCTTACTTAAGCTCTTACATAAAGACAATTTCTACACATTTAGAAGAAAAAAACAACTAATTCATAAGTAATTTAGTTCATTGATGAATTCATTTGTATCAACCATATTTAAAAGTGGAAAAGCCCATACAATTGTAATGAATTATTTTCAGTAAATATATATATATATATACAGTTAAAAGTAGTAATTTAACATCGTAAATTTGCTTATGCCCGATAGACGGATAAATTATCACCGGTTGATGATTCAGTTTCCAACGCCAAATTTTTGCAGATCTGCCTTAGGGAAAACCTAATAAGATACACTTAAACATTAAATGTAAGAATAAAAGCAGACTGTTTGCTTTTAGTGGAACGATAGACAAGTTTTAGGAGTCCTTGTAGAAAAATTCCAGTTAGGAGAGACTATAGTTTCTCAAATGATGCATTTGGTGTTTTCTAACTTAAGTCGTCTTTGGTGCAAGTGATATCCGGAGCTCTGTAAAGAGTATTTGTACGTAGAAAAAGTTCATTATGTACTAATATACAGTTGAGGGAAATGAGTACTGAAGATAGTCATTTAGTCAGCTAATAATCAGTTCAGAAAATGGAAATTCATTGAACACACCTAGATTACTAGTATTTATTAACAGCTTTGTACTGTGTGGTGATGGCTCAGGGTAGAATGCCCGCCAGTCACACTTAAGGTCTATATTCGATTCCCAGCTAATGCATCCCTAAACCTCACCTAGATGGTAGTAAGCCCGAGAAACAGGGAAGGTGAGACGTGGACCTGCAACCTCACCCAGCAAAAACACAAGTGCTACTGAAACTTCAATGCTCAAAGACTTATATTCCTTGTGGAATGCGAAAGAATGGTAAAAACAACTTTGTACAAGCTTCACAAAGTCTAACGTTTACTTCCAATGGAGTATTATTGCCATACAAATGAAAATAATTCATGTGAGATTATTCCTCTTCATTTGTTTAAATATAGCACAACTTGTCTGGGAACTATGCTGGTTGTGGAAAAATGAAACCACAACTAATCATCAGATTTCATACCTTTTTCTATTTTGATCTAATGATGACTTCTATTCAGTCATCTGGTAATTTTTACTGACTGTTTAATAAGTTATATTACACCCACAATGGTGTTTTCTTGAACCAAGAATAAGTGAGAGAAAGGAAGTTCATCTAGATTACTGTAATTTTTGAGAAGCTGTCACAAAACAGCGTCCACCACAACAAACTTTGATTCTACTTGTAATTTATGCTTCCCTATAGTTCTCTAGGTAAATTTGCTTTAGGCAATGCTCAAAGACTTTTACTTTTGACTACTGCATGAGATATATGCTGAAGTGGCTCTGTCTGAATATTCCCACTCCTTGAGATAAAAATCACAATCTCTCATAGCAGCCTTGAGTGCTTTAGTCCTGATTGCTTCACTAAGCTGAGGATCTTTTTAGAGAATGCATCTGTATCTCCGTATACATCACCACCAATGAACCACTGCTCAAGGAGAAAAAATACCTAATCCGCACCTCAACCTAGAAAACATCTCACTCTAGTAAGCCCAAGCTTAAGGCATTCTCCATTATTATTTCACTCTGTTTCCCATCTACAGAGTGCCTGAAAAAACTGAGCAGCAGTCATATGGAAACAATAGGCAAGGTTAAAAATAAACGCAAACCATCTCAAAAATCCCACATTTGAATAACAACACTCCAAGATCAATAAATGCCAATAAGAATGAGACGACAAGTTTAGATATGTCACATGCTCTAGTAAATACTGAAGTTCAACGGAAGGGATCTCCATATGTTACTAATGTACTGAAGGCTGTAGAATATGAATCAGAAGTGACGAAGACACTGAGCAGTTCTGTAAAACGTATAGCGCAGTATGTAGCTGATCTCTTAAAATCCTTTTATATGAATAAGCGGTTGATTGTTAGTAATGCTTAAAGAAACCCAACAAAGTAATTGTGAAGTGCAAGGAATTTCAGTAAAAAACTCACAATTTACAACTTAATCCATTTGGTGGTCACTGTCTAAATCCGGTAATCTTGGCAGTTTTTAAATATCTCATACAGGGGAAGCAAATAAGGTTGATTTTATCTGAAGCTTTTACAGTCCAATAGCTTCTGATCTAAGGAGAAAATGACGGAAAAGTCCCCTCCGTCTTCATACTGAAACGAAATCTGAATGTGAATTAAGAGGCCGAAATGTCTATTGAGAACATTAATTATGCTGACATGGAGGAGAAAACTATCTTGTATACATCAACTACACAACATCTTCCTTCCCTCACTAACTTCCTAAGTTTGTAACCCACTATGTTTACAAAATTTCGATTTATGATCAATACGCCTCTTCTGTGTGTATCAATCAATTTGATTGCTCCTGAGCAGCCAGTTACATAGGCCGTACAATTAGGCGTGTTTCTCGTCGGATTCCCAAACATCACCCTGAGTGGTTAAGTGAAGGACAAACAAAATCCATTCATAGCTCTATTCTATCTGATCTTGTGGAGACAGAACACATGATTGATGTTAATGAGGCTTTCAAAGTCATCTACCTCATATCATCAAATCTTAGCTTCACCTTAAGAGTTTGTCTACTACATATTGCTGAGTCCAATGGGATCCACATTAATAAACCTTAATTATGTTTTTTTATTTCCATCACGTTCCCAGTGGAACAAAGGGCTTCAAGCTAGTGGCTTGAATTTTCTTTAGCAGTGTTTATTTTACAGGATGGGGTTGCTAGCCTCATACCCAACCTTTCCTCTTCACCAGCATTATTTCTGGCTTGGCGAGGTAAAGGATTGCGTCGGCCGGGGATCGAACCCTGGACCATGTGCATGGTCGGCGAGCGTCCTAACTACTATGCCACCGACGCACCCCTAAATTATGTGTTCAAAATAATCTGGTTCAAACACTGTTCCTACCTTGGTCATCAAGGTTCTGATGATCGTCATTTTTTGTGTGGAAATTTCCTTAATTTTATTTGAGTTTTTATTTGCTATTATATTTGTATGCTTATTATAATTTATGCATTTTTACTGAACTGTAATTCCATTGATCTTAGTTTTCTTATCCCTTTACATTCCAAGTGGAAAATAGGGCTTCAAGCTAGAGGCTTGAAGTTTCGGTAGCAGTGTTTATTTTTACAGAATGGGGTTGCCAGCCTCATGCTCAACCTTTCCTCTTTATCAGTTTTATTACTGGCTTAGCGAGGTAAAAGAGTTAATATGCGTCTCTGTTAAGAAAATTATTTTGAGCCTTGCAAGTATGACAAAATTCTATGTACATTTACACAATCAACTTTTTTGGTTGTAAGCAGCTGAAGAGAATCCGACGAATGAAATGATGAGCTCACATTATCTGTATAAAAGTTTATTTTCATAAGTTTAATTTCTACTCTGACTAAAGATCATTTAACTGCAATAATTAACCATCAACATATTTTTATTAAGAAAACCAAGTTTCTATTTTGTAATTGACTGAGTAAAGTCAGATAATCGAACATAATTAAATGTGACTATTATATTTTCTAATTCTTCAACATATTCTGAATTATAAACATTTGTGTTCACAAACTGACTGACTGAGTTTGAACATAGAACTTTGCATAGAAGTGCATCAATTCAAGTTGCTACATTCCATGTAGCGCACAAATGTAGACAAAGTGGAAGAAAAGAGATTCAAAAAACTGTAATAGGCAGAAACTTGCAACAGAAAAAACAGTGACATGGAGAAACATGAGGGTTTAGTGGATATGATAAGCCACTAGGAGTGAATTTACCTACGCCGCTGAGAACAACTTTTAGCCATATCACTTATAGTCTCAAGCTATTGATTCTTAGCATCCTGAAAACTCCAACTAGTAAGTCTACACCTCCCTATGTGGCTTAAACCGACTGTCAACGACTTCATGGTCCAATGCCAAGTTTTGGTCCAACTACTCCTAACTCTTTTCCAGCCTAATCCTATGTCATCTGACATTGTCCGCCAAAGAAGACGACGGCTCAACATGCCCAATACATGTCCAGCCTAACTCAGTCAATATTGCACAGAAGCATTATCACATAAAAACCTTAAAGATTTGTGGAAATTAGAACTATCTAGCGACTGCGACTTTTTAAAAGCAGAATTTTTGTTTTGTTTAGAATTAGTTTATTTTTTCTTGAATCAGTGTGTTTTATGATAGATTTATTAATTAACTTCAAAATGCTTTCTAACGCATTATTTTTCGCCTATTAAAAATGTCTTCCTCAAAGAAAAACTCTGTTTAGCCTAAATTATAAGCAAAACATAACCGATAGTGTTATTATGCAATGACGTGGAGTGCAGTGCATTTCATGACAATAATACAATTCATTGATTTAAATTATATCAACTAAGTACACAATTAATAAGTGCAAATGTGTTAATAGTTAAACTTTGTTCTAAATAAATGACAGGAACTAATTGATGTTTATTTCTGCTTGTTTCAATTAATCACTGATTAAATTACTATGGTGGTTACGAACTAATAACTACTCAAACTCTAACTCTGTGAGCTCTAAGTCTTATTTACTTTGTTAGGAGTAAATGACAGCAGTCGATATTTCAAACAGAGACAAATCGATTGAGTTTACACTAAGAACTAACAATTTAACTACAGGTCTTGTAGTAGTTACTGTTAGTTACTGTCTTCTAACAATATCAGATGCACATTTTGGATTTTTAAGCTTAGAACCAGGAGGCAGACAAATTCATCAGATGACACACATAACTGTTTGTTTCTAGGTATTATTACCACCAAGGTAATCTTACTGGTGAAGTCTTACAGCAAGACTGTATTCTTGACACATTGTCAACAGTTTTAAATTTGAATGATTTCCTTTCAACGAATGTTATTACTGTATACAATATTATTAAGTCAGTTCATTCAGTACTCAGAAGTACTTCTCAGTAAGCTATTATGTTTTCTACATATCAGTCTAAATCAAGCAAATTTTTCTACAAAGTACATTTGAAAGATATACACTGTTACCGTATTCTCTAAAATACTTCATATTTACGGATCGTAACACTTCTTGAAATTGAAACGATACTACCTTTATCTCTCCCTCTCTTTAGTTCAAAATTAAAAGTTTAGAAAAGTAACACTATAGTTCCTACTTCTATAAGAATGTTAGGAACGTACCTTAGCGTATAAACATAGTGAAATTTAGTCTGTAATATTGAAACAAAATTGTTATAGTTTGTTCTAAACGTAATTATAACAATGTAGTGCACCTTGAATGTTTGAATTTTTGTTTTAACGCATTCATTCGCTATGGCGTCACGCCATCTTGTTGTTTTACGGCGTGACTGTATACACTTGGTTCACTCCCTTGTTGTGCTACCATTAAGCGTACTCTTAGAGCTTACTACCCAGCTAGGCAACAGATAAGTTGTATAACATTCTTATTTATTAAAATTGATATTTAATCTGTGTAAAATACAACTCTCATCAAGACACACTACCCAGTCTCAAGCCTTTTTACTTTGAGTTCGTTAATCAGTACTTACGCGCTAGGTAGAGTACTGCTAAGGTATTAGGCGGAGAAGTCTTTAGTAAGTACGGTTAGTTGAGATCGACCTTAAGTACAATCAACACTTACAACAACAATGTTAAAATTAAATTTTTGGAATTTAATAAGATAAACCAGTTCACGTTAAAATTTTTTTTTATTCTAAACTTTTACAGACAGAGAGCAAAGAATCTAAATATCAACACGCTGAATCACCTACATCAGATTCAGTTAGCCAATCATATCACGCATCACAAACAAAATTATCAGTATCCCCAGCATCAGCATCGACAATGTCGTCATCTCCACATAGAAGACCACTTAATAAACCAGTGGAAACTTATACAGATAGCAAAGACCATCTGCATTCATCTCATATTGAAGCATACCAAGTGCTACAACAACAACAACAAAAACAAAAATATCAGGAAAAACCGCAGAAATCATTGAAAACTGAACACTATAGTAGTCCATATAAACAAAAAGAACCAGTGGTCAGTTCAAGTCAACACTATACAAAATCAAATGCTCACAGTCAATCAAATAATGGCGGTAATAAAAAAGGTATAATTGAAGATGATAATAAGCATTATCACTATCACTACGAGAAGAGTAAATCTGATTACTCTGATAACAAAAAAAGTGAAAGTGCCTATAAAAAGTCATCATCCGCTGAAAATAAGGCAACGTCACCATCCATAACATTTGTTTCTGGAAAGGAAAATAAATATAGTTCATCTAAATATAAACAGGATAAAACACCGAAAACTACAATAATTACTGATGAAACATTAAAAAAGATTAAAGAGGAAATAGAAAAGAAAATACGTAGTGATTTAGAGAAAATGACTCGACAAGTTAAAGAATCTGATAAATCGGAATATGGTGAAAAGGAAAAGTCATCCTATTCACAACCTTCTCGTTCAAATTATGAAGAAGAACGAGAAGAAAAAGAAAATGGTAGACAGAATTATGATGAACCTAGAAGAGAAGAAGAATTCAGTAGGTTTCATGGACGAGACCATGAAAGAAAACCACGACGTCCTAGAAATCAGTACGAACGTAAGTCTATTATATTAGTAAGCTATTGTTTAACTTTGTTACACATCCTTCTAATATAGTACTTAACTAGCAATCCAGAAAAGACAACAGAGATTATTTAGTTGGTTACAGGATTTCATCATGAGCTGACATAGGTTAGAGAACCACTGGAAAGCCTGGGAGTACTGGATAGTTGTTTCGTCCCATTTTGGGACTCTTCATCAGCACGCACCCACCGGGGTTCGATTATTTGAATTGAAAGAATTCTCTAGTACTTGCTAACGATTAGAATAGATAAAAATGGATTCATAGTGTAGCCTTTAAAATTAAGTGATTCTGTTTGCTTATCTTTTAATCACAAAAGCTGCTGAAATTAGTATTTAACGAAATACATGTATGCAACGTATTAATAGGAGTAAAGAAGAACATATTCCTTTTAATATTCCACCCTGCTCTAATTTAGTCAAATCAGTGAAGAGCAGCAGGATATTTCCATCAACATTGTTCAGAGACGACACATTTAATCCCCCTTGTACTCTGAACGGGCATTCATACTTCTCTAACAGATGAATTACTTAGTCAAGGAGGTCTGAGTCACTAAAGTGCGTACTGATGAAGAGTCCCATACTAGGACGAAACAGCTGTCCAGTAATCCCAGGTTTTCCAATGGTTCTCTAACCGATGTCAGCTCATGATGAAATCCTGTAACCAATCAATCAAATCTCTACAAACCAATACTTGAAAAGTTTTTCATTTGTGTCAGACATCTCTTTAAGACGTTTTTTGACTGGTAATCTAAAAAATGCTTCATTCAGACTAATCCCTGAAATATCACTCAGTCTTTACCTTTCTTCAGTTCAAAAAAGTTAAATACAAGGTGATCTACATGATCTTTCAACAATGACCTGGATGTATTTACCTAATCTCCCTTCTAAAATATCCATATTATGTGCTGATTCTACATAGTTTTTCATTTCTTAGTTCAACATGAAATGGGATTCTTAGTTGCAGATTATGTGAATATATACTTTTTCGAGAATACTAGAACTTCTTTCCTCCCACCTGACTATGTCAAAATGAAGAGACTCCTCAACACTACAGTTCACCGTTGTATTAAAAACAAGAAAGCCAACTAATCGTTTCAACCAATACTATCTCTATCCACTCTAATATGTTTGGTTCTTCTAGTGACTAGGCTCACTGTCTATTAAAAGATGAGAATACTGTATAGCGGTCAGCCTTTACTCTGTGTTTTTCAAACATGACTATTCAAGATGGATGATACGTTTGCTAATTTGTGATCATGGGCTTACGGGATTTTTTGCTTAAACACGATTTAGGAATAAGGGAAATTCAATTGCTAAACACTGTAAACCTCAACTGACTGAAGTCTAACATATCCTGACTAAAGTCCTACTCATTCAACAATATCAGATCAAAATATGATTGATTAATGAGAAGGCTAAGAGTGGCCCAACGAAAAATAACGAGGAAAGTGCTACTGAGTACTATTATCAATGTAGAAAGTGGTAGTAACTTTTGTGTCGAGCAGTATCCTCTCTGATTTATTCAGTTACTTGTCTTAAAAACACTAACTAGCAATATCACATATCGTTAAAAGAATATTTACGTTATTCGAAGCTAATAGTTATGTATTGAATTCGTGGAAGATTTGAATTTGACTGTTTTACTGCAACACGATGGCTTATACAACAAACTAATCGTATTAGTGAAAACAATTACTTGCAAAATATCTAGTTTTACTTCTAAACAATGACAAAAATTCTCTGTTATTACAGAATGTAACAGACCAAGTTAAAACTTTAAAAGCTGCTCTTACGTTATTTAAGACTTCCTAGGGCTTCCACCTAGTCTTCATACAGCCTTCTGCTAATCTAATCTCTCTAACCGTTTCGTTAATTATTTTGTAGTCTAGTGAAAATCCACGTTTTCACTCTTTGTACAATGGTATAACTGTGTACTTGTGCTTCGAGTTTTTCGTTATATAACGGTGTAACGTTTAAAATTTTCTTGTCAAATATGTCAAATTTTCATCGGACTGTTTTCAAATGCACATTATCATCAGCATCCTTGTGTCACGACCATCCTGCACGAAATTAAATGCCTATATTTAACTGAGTAAAGCAAGCCAACATGTTTAAGGTCTGTACACACTTTAGTTTCAGACAGCGTTTATAGCTGAAGAGGCTGATGAAAATGGCAGTTTGATTTATCAGTGTGGAACGAAACATAAATGTCCAGAAATCCACTGCAAATGACATGGAGACAATAGTCTAAAATCATTGTTTCTTAGTATCCCGTAGTCCCTAGACTAACAGTCTACATCTCCTGCTATGTGAATCAAACCAGTGCGCAAATACTTCATTAATTAGTGCAGCGTGGCCATCTGATCATCCTTAAATCTTTTCTAGTCTGGTTCCAATTTAGATAATATTGCTCACCTAGGTAGACAATTACTAAGCAGCAAACTTATTTAATTCAGCCAATAATCGACTACTATCATTTCCTAATACTTTTAGAGTCAAATCATCAGGTCATATTACTTTACCTTCTTTGAGACTAGGAACATTCAAACAACCTCTTCTGCAGCTGGAGGACATACGTATAAATTCCACACCGACGCAGGTTGGATAGTAGACGACTTCGGTTTAGTTATAAGCCAGATCAACTAATCCTCAGTACTCTCTCAAAAGTTCCAACCATTCCTCCGGAGAATTTATCACACCTCTATCCTTCTAGAAGATCGTCTCACTTGCCATAGGTCTTTTATAACAGCTTCCCTTTATGGAGCTAAACAGTTGATAGGTTTCGTCCATTATTAACGTCTTTCCCGTTTCTCTCGCTTTCTTCATCCACAACTGTTCGCAGACACTGAGGAGACCTTTAATAAGCTTACTTTTTAACATTTTTCAACCCTTGTCAAGCGCCGAATTGGTTGAAATCAGTCTTTCTAATATGCACATTACGTTTACACAATATGTACAATTCTCAGAGTAGTTTATTTCATAATATTTACTTTTCATCCAGGAGTTTCAAGTAAAACATCCATGTCCAGTATTTCAAGTGACTCAGTGATGTTAGATCTGAAGAATAAAATAATCCACAACGGTATTTTTCCTAGGTTCTACAGAAATGATCAATGATATGGGATATAACTGAATGATTATAACAGCAAGAACTGAAGAAAATAAGATGTATTAACTCGGATGGAAATTCAGGTAGCCCAGAGATTCAAGCAGGTAAAATCAGTCAGTTCGGATGTAAATTCATAAATTCACTGTCATTTACTAAACTTTGAATACAGGTTGTCAACATCTTATACCACTTTTTCTACGGCAAACTTTGTAGTACCAAGATTCATTGGAATAAATATTGCTGTTATACTCAGATAAAGACTTATTTAGCCCCCGCCACACACTCCTCCAAGTACGGGAAATTCAGAAAAGCCAAGGCTTTGTGACTGCTTGTTTCTGTTCAGTCTCAGTTACAACTAACTACGGTATGATACTTGTTTGGATTTCACCCAGGTGTTCTAGAAAGTACAGTAATCTCTTATTTATAACTGATGGCTAGTTAGTTTGTTTTTGTCCATTTTGTGGCTTGATACCTAAGGTCATCAGATAGAGTTATGTTTCTACATGTGTTTTATCTAGTGTTGGTCAGGAATAGATACTTATCGTAATAGTATTTTAAAAGACAGTTATCGCTTGAGGCTGTTTAGTGATAGAAGCTATGGAGTTTCCTTCGTACAAAAACCGTAAGGCATGTAGGGATTTAATATTCTTGTGACTGACTTTTTCTAACTCCTTCTAATTTGAGTTGGTGGGCGACGTGGCTGTCCTTTTGACTATATGTAGGAAGCATCTTACTATTGGTACACCCTCATCTTCCAGCTGTACGACTTTGACCTAATAGACTAAGCAACCTACCCTATAATAATTACTGCTTTTAACCTAACTCTTGTTTAACAAGCCTTTTCTGTATACAATGACCTATACAAACATTTGTTTTAACCAGTACACCTCAAATGTCACTGCAATATGCAAACCAGTCCATCATGTTAATGCTAGCAGCTACTGATTTTCCCTCAACACTGTAAAACTGGAAGATTCATGTTTGATAACTACTTTTTTGATTGATAAAGCTGTACTCTTTTCAAATGTCCAACTGTATGTTTGAAAATTCATCTATCTTAATAGATGTACGAACCACCCCATGATATGTCAAAGAACTCATGCACAAATAACTTCTGATCTTCGAATAATAATAATTTGCTTTATTCCAGAAACAGTACTAGTGGTACAGTGTGGAATTTTCAGCACATATCTACAATATTTGCATCTAATTTTATCCAACGTTTAAAAGGAGTATTTTCAAATAAAATAAATGAATAAATAAATATAACGACAACAACAGCAAAAAAACAAAAAAAACAAAAACAATAAACAAAATAATTTTTAAGTAAAAAAATGCGAAAAAATACCAAGCTATAGTCATACAAGAAGTTTTGAAATGGTATTTAAGGATGTTTATCACAAAGATGATCAGTTAATTTGGTTGAAACAACTCTAAACAATCATAAAATAACATTTCAGGGTTGTTGTTTTGTTTTTTATTGTCAGGTCTAATGCAGTGATTGTAGTGATAGTGTGAGTAATCCTGCATAATACAAAATTTAAGGTGGTGATAATGGCGTTCACAACTAATGATTGTCAGTTAATATTGCCGAAAAAAAATAAAAAATGAGAAAAAAACAACCACAAAAACTAATAATTACATGATGGTAATGACAGGACAATTTTGTAATACTCATAGTGCTAATATAGTCGGAACCAGTAGATACACAAAAGAAGGAATACAGTAAAGTATAAAAAGTAAGCCAGTGTTAATAATTTAGGTAGCTAAGTATGTTTAAGAAGGAGTTCACTATAGAATACAAAGTAAGAGAGAAATAAAAGAGCCTAAGATTATGTTATTAACAACAAAGCAAGTCATAGGTTTCGCGCTTAACATTGTCTCTGTATCGTTGAGTTCCTGTGCTTGGTTGTACGAGGATTTATTATTTTATACTGATTTGTGGTTCTACCTGATGAGATACAAGGAGAGAGTTGGGAATAGAGGGGGTGTTGGGGGTCGGAGAGTATGGTTTTATACCATTTTTCGCATGTATTCAGATGCCTCTCAACTAATGTAGTGACGAGTGAGTGAGTTTTACACCACTAGTCCTACTAACTACCTTCAACATCCTTCTCAGGATGGCATGGTCCTTTTTCAGTAGACCAGGAAAGACTAATGGGGAGCAGTAAAGTAGAATAGGTAAGATACAAGAGTTGACAAATTGTGAAAGTAGAGGTTGGGTGATTCCAGATTGTCTAAGTTTCTTGATGTAGTAGGTTAGACAGAACACTTTCTTAGAAATCGTTAGGATATGAGATGTCCAAGTAAGGTAGGAAAATATAACTAGACCGAGGTATTTTGCATTAGACATAGTTTCAGTTTTAGTCCCCTCAATGCAACAGGCTTCATGAGTACTTGCTAGTGTTTGTAGATCTCGTTTATGCCTAAAGGAGAAGTCAGTAGTTTGGCAATTTGAGGAATTCAGCATGAGACCATTTAGTTTAGACCACTGACTGATGTCCGACAGGAAGCTATTTAATTTGAAACAGTCTGACTGAGACTTAATGGGATACGATACAGACAGGTCATCTGCATATTTGACGAAATTGATTTCATCTGAAAGAGGTAAATCATGTAAGAAGAAGGACAAGAGAAACGGAGAGAGAACAGCATCTTTTTGAATTAAATTACTAAATTCATAACAGATGCAACTAAAATTATCATCCACTACATCTAACCTACAGGATTACACTTTTCAGGCCGAAAGTTTGACTAGTCTTGAAAACGAGGCTCAATCTAGATACTCTTTTTAATCCAACATAATAGTTGTAAATAGTTCCAACATATTAAAATGCTTTTAATACAATATATCAAATCATGAGGAATATTATTTTCCAATAATACATATTTCTACAGATTCAGGTGAGTTGATCAACGTAAATTTATGTGTACAAAGGAGCAGTATTATACTACCTATGTGATTTTGTGGATCCATACCATACCTTTATCAATAAATATTTCCTAGATGATATTTACTTGTTTTTTCAGGGGATTCTGATCACGATCGACACGACGAAAGAAATAGACGTTACGAACCTGAAGAAGATGAATTCCGATCGGATAGACATGAACCACGATATTCACCGACAGACAGAGATATCCCACCATATCGTCGTCATTCTCATCACCAGCCTAATCCACCACATCATCCATTTCCACGACAACATTATCCACATCCTCCTCATGAAGATGAAAGACCAAGTCGTGAAAGGGATCATGTATATCGTATTCATGGAGAAGAGTCTTCAGATCATTCACCTGATGAAAAAAATAATGATGAAACTGCACAGCAACCAGAAAAACGAAATAATTACAAACAGAGACCAAGAAGCATAGTTCAAGGTGTATCATTTACGGAAAACGCTACAGCCCTACCAGCCCCACCAGACAGCGATAAATATACGACAAAAATTTTGGAGTCCATTTCCATTCCAGTGATTCTTGACGTAGATGACGCATTAACCAATGAATGTCCTATATTTTCTTGTACAACAAATTGTACAGGTAACTTATACAAGCTTGATACCACCACAGGTTGTCCGAGATGCGAATGCTGCTCACAGGCTGTATGCCAAAAACAATGCGATAACGGCTATGATGCTGATCAAGATGGTTGTCCTACGTGTCAGTGTCTGGGATCTTACAGTTAAAGTAATTCATTCCATGCTGTTATTAACTTTGTTGGATAATAAACCATACAGAAATTAACTGGCTGAATCTTCTACATATTTCTGACTGACATTTTAATATTCATAATACAGATTAAATCTCAGTTTGTCAGTCCAGCAATTGTGAGTAGTAGATGGAATATTCCCAAAATACACTTGCAGTAGAACTTTTAGAAAGCAGGAGGAGAAATGAATGCTGACCGCTTATCATTTAAAAGTGAAGCTAACAGCTAAAGACTTACCTGAAATTTGTAAGTGTTAAAAATTATACGTAATAACCTGAAACTGCCAATGGATTTTACTCAGACACTCACGCTAGAATTTCAACAATAGTTTTGATATCTTAGTTTCAAATCAATTCAGGTCTTTTAACTAGTACAAATCAAGATCATACCCATTTCAGAAATTATTTTGCATTTTATTTGGAAAATTAAAGTAGTCAAAGAACAATGTACTATTTATTAGAATTCTTAGATAAGAGCAATTGATTGTGTTATAAAAACTTCTGCAGAGGAACTGCAAAATAGAATAGATTATGCCTGACTCTAAATGTTAAAGCAGTTATCGTGGCAGGCTATGCCGCCATTGTTTTCATAATACCATATACTACTGATTGATTGATATAAGTAGTTGGATACTATTCACAAAAACCATCAAATATTATGATCTGAATAGTTTCGGCTTCCAAATAAACTGTGGTGAAATTTCACCTCGAACTGTATGAATTGGAATATGAAAATTGCGACTTCGAGTAATCAGTTTCACTTTGTGCGTGATTCAAAGATAGCGTTAATGCAGTTGTACAAAGCAAGTATTCATAGAACTATATAAACAACATTTTGATAATGTATAAGCTTTGTATGCATATCGGCACAATGTTTGTGGTTGAACAAAGTGAAATAGAATACCGAAAAGGTAGATGGATGGATCACCGCAGACTTTGCTAAGTGATGATTAGTTGTGTGATTAAATGGCTTTGTCATGTCAGTAATTAGATCTGAATATTTATCACTAGTAAGTAGTTTCCATTCTGCAAAGTGACAACAGCCGTAAATAAGATGACTGTGCCCTCCTACAGATGAGGTTTATTTTGAAATCTCCCTCCATCTATATACCTTCCGACTGGCAGATCCACTCTTATATACTTTTAGCTATAAGTCTCAAGACTTTATTGGTCACTACATTTCGTATATAGTGATTAGTTTGACAGCGAATTGAAAGATTGCATATTGGTTTTGTTGTACTCTTGTTAATTAACTGAACTGCTGTCTATTTGCCTCATATTTCGAACCAACACAAGTTCCTCATTCTAGCTTCTAGCTGTCTTCTGGTCTTGAAGTGTCTAACTAAACGTAGTTAACAATTTGACCACGGATTTATATCAGTTAGAGAGAAAGTGAAAACAAGGAAGTACTGGATAATTGTTTCATCCTAGTTTGGGACTCATCGGCAGTACGCAACCACAGGAGTAGTTTAGTCTTCGGGATTTTAGACACTACGGAACTGCTTAAAAAATTAGTAAATTAGAGACAATCATAAACTAGCCAGGGCGATTATCCTGATCTTCAGATCTTCTGGAATGAATTACCTTGCATACCTTTTGGAATGTATTAGTTTTGCACTTCATGTGCTCGTAATCACTCAACTATCGAACACTTCTCGGCAATATGTTAATTGAAAATTATCAACTGCTGTTGTTTGGTAGATGTGAACGTTGTGTAAATTCTCATACCTTCATGTTCCTTTATTATACATATATATATATATATATATATATATATATATCCTTAAAACTTTCAACTTAATGTCTGTGAATAGCACTAATCAGATGCTGAGGTCTTTGATTGTCACAAATTTGTTGATACGCTTTCTTAAATCAACTGACACTCACCTGTTGTTTGGTTGCTACTTTGGGTAAGCTAGTTGCTTCTTACCATACGAAGTGAGAGAAAAAGTGCGTGAAACTCTACTAAAGCCTGTTTCAAATGCTCCTTGAAATACACTAAAACAGAGGGTAATAAGAGTAACTTCCTTGTTTTGTCACCAGGCCATTGATCAAAAACTTAATGGCGTATATCCTGGTGATAGTGTACCACCACAACTGAAACAACACATGAAGACCCAGATGAGAGATTAGTATGTCAGTTCAAAGCTATTCTACCGGTTGCAGCTAAACAGACAGCTCAAGAAAATTTAGTAAGTTCTGACTTTGATGACGATTATACAGTCAGATAAAATACCCTACATTGCTTATCGAATTTATACAGGAATGCAGCCCATGTACATAATTTGACAAAACAATCACCAACTAACGAGTGAACTGCTCTGGAATAAAACAGTAGAGGACAGCAACTTACTCTAGATATTCCGAAATAACTTCTTAGACATTTAAGATATATGCCACTCATTTGAACTACAAATACACATAAAATTGCACTGAAAGAGACCTTACATCGGTAATACCACCCATATGGGAAGATTCTGTTTATGCATTCCTTCAATCCAATCGTTCGTGGAAAATAAGCCAGCGATCAATCAATGCCTATTGGATTCGTCATTGAGCACAAAGTAAACAGTGGTGTCTTTTGTGTGGCTGATAAACAAACATGACCACCGTGTCTTAAGGACACGAACAGAGAAGTTAACGTTGTCTCAACGACACCTAACGAACGACTTGAGATACACATCAGAGACAGGTACGAAACAGCTAAAGGACTTACAATAATATTGGACAACTCAACAAAATCAATGACGTATGTGTTACTTAACGGTCTCTTAGTTGGAGGCATAGAGAATTCTTGTTGAAGGTATTCGCGATTTTCTCAGTTCCTCAGTGGGTGTGGACAGTTTGCCTTTAGCTTTTTGTGCTTGGCTACTGAGTTCGGTAGACATTAGCAATTGATGGAATCATCATCTCCCCAAAGTTAAGACCGCTCTTTGATATTCTGTCACCATCCTTCTGCCTCGCTGAAAACAAGAATTTTCACACACCAGACGGTTACCTGTGTTAATAGAAAGTTTTGGTGAGTGTTGGAAAAAGACGTATGATAGTGAAAAATGATGTGATGACAAGAGATGAATAACTGATTAGTGCTCATTGTGTGGATGAAAAAATGCTAAACATAATAAGTAGTAGTCGCTTCAGACAACCAAAGAAGAAACTACTGAAGAAATTATCTATGTAAGTTTGTTTTCATACACTTGAACAAAGCAAGAACGAAAAGTTGACAGGGATAACATGATGTTAATTTACTTCTTATCAACCACATGCAATCAAAAACAACTATTATACCGATATTCGGAATTTTCACATATTTAGTCGAACAGTTGGAAGATAGCAACCAACAGTATAACGTAGTTGAATACATGTGGAAGTGAAAGAAAAGAACTACAGGTGTCAGTAAGCTTGCCGGTATATTAATTTTGCCCACTTTTAAAACGATACAGATGTACACAAAAGTCGACGGTTTTCTTTTACTTATGTCAAAGCAAACGTTGTTTATATAGAAGGGCCCTACACAGTTTCCATTGATTCTTCCATTTTAACGTTTCTGAGGTTAATAATTATCAAAGGTCAATCAGACATAACATTCTATGTCCAAAGAAATAACTTTATTGGATGTAACACAAAAACGATGTTCTAAGAACTCTAAAGAAAAAGTTCACAAACAATTTCTTAAGAGGAATATATGAAATGCTTTAACTCAGCACAAGCTGAGCGATTTGACAGTTTACTAGAAAGACAGACTGAAACTATTAAGCGAATAGTGAATTCAAAGATTCAGGGATAAATCATGAATGTCAGATTTCTAAGAACTGTTTTGGTTGAAGGGAGGAAATTCCTCACTGATAGACCATTGCTCTGAGTGACAGATAAGCAAGATTAGTAATCTAAATTAGCAGTTTCGCTTATGGATGCAAATTAGTGAAAAGATGCAAATATATGGCATACTCAATAAAAATATTTTTAGCAATAAATTAAATGGGTGGATCAGTTTTGTAAGCAGAAGACAAAAAGTGGATTCTTGTCATTTATTTCGGACAGGAAAAGCAGTGTTAACAGTATTATTGAGAGTACTACAAGATGTGAAGATATTGATAAAAAACTAATTAATAAACAGTAATATCTATGAAGTCCAAAACTAAATATAAAGTGCTGAAATGTGTCGAATTACTAACATCTCTGGCAAGTTTGCACGAAGGTGACCCCGGTAGAAAGCAAGCAAGTGACAGCACAACCTAGACAAGACTCACTATTTTTTCTGGCAGACACTATAAATTTAAATTTGTTCAAAATGACGCTGTATGGTAGGGTATCCAAATTTAGATGTCACTATTCATGGAGCAAACAAAAACATTTTAGGCGCATTTCGAAAAATAATCCATGCTTCGAGTGATTTCGTATGACTTTAACTGTGTGAATTGCTACTAAACTTATTTTATATCAACAGGATACGCATAGAGCCTCTTTCAAATGCAAGAATGTAGTCAGAAAAGGAATGGTATCATCAATAGAAATAACCTACGATTATATGTACAATAGTTCAGCTAATTTTCAGAATACATACAGACCATCTCATCATTCACAAAATAAGCATCAGAAAAACAAGTTCTTTAAAAAATGTTTTTAGATGAAAGAGGGTGACAGTCAGTTCGTAATTAGAACTGTCGTACTACATCTATCTTATATTAAAACCATATTTTGTACATTTACTCCGTATTGCGCTACGTTTGTCTTCCTTTCACGTTTTTCATGGTGTTTCTGCCCTTCGCCATTACATCCATCCCTCTCCTATTCAATATTCTTACAGATGCTATATATTTATACCTATGTATATATACCTACTGAAAAATCTTAACAGTAGTAAACGCCATATTTGCATTTATTCTTCACAAACCATTTAAGGAAGACCCGTCGTTTTGTTTAGCATCTAGTTGTTGAGAGAATTCACACACACCTAAGATTACTTTCCGCTCTGTCT